GAAAACAGAAGGGGAACAAGTAGTAGGAAAGAGAATGATTCAGAAGCGATACTTATGTGCCTTGCCGGTGTCTCTGCTCGGTGGAGTCGAACGGTAGAGTCGATGGTCTTTACACTCTTCGGTCTTCACACGAGGGCTGCCGCGACCGCTGCCACGGTATACTAAGCTTTTTATATTCATCTAACAAATTCAAATTGATTTCAGCTGGACACACTTTCCTGTTTATCACAACAAATGGCCAAGCAAAGCGCACAACACTGACAAGGTACGCGATACAGTACGAGACCAAACGCGATTTCAGCACGTCTCCACAGTAAACAAAACAAGCGTTTCCTAGCAACGACAACTGCGCTAAACACTGAGACAAGAAATAAATACACTTACAAGCTGCTTTTAATTTCTGCTGATTGACTGCTTCTCACAAAGAGTATTTCTTTACACTGTTTTGCTGGCACTTGAACACACTTTCCTGTTTATCACAACAAATGGCCAAGCAAAGCGCACAACACTGACAAGGTACGCGATACAGTACGAGACCAAACGCGATTTCAGCACGTCTCCACAGTAAACAAAACAAGCGTTTCCTAGCAACGACAACTGCGCTAAACACTATTTTACACATCTGCATTAGCATACATTACAACTACTGTAACAACCACGCAGTACATTAGACTAACTAGAATCTAAACATTCAACAAAAAGCAAATGGCAAGTGTCATAGGCAATAAACATTCAATGATTAAAAAATGTAGCACAAAGCAAAAATTTTAATTTGTGGAGTCTGTCCAGGTGCATGAGCCAGCATCAGCATCCTTCGTCGATGGCATATCAGTGGAGTTTGTTGGCATGAAATTAAGCCCCACCCACACCCCAATCACAGAGGTGTGTACAAGAAGCTGGGTCTCAAAATAATTATTTATTAGATGGATGATATAATGTTTCCTGGTCTACCATCTCTACTGGTCCCATCCAGTTCCAAGTAATTTTCCTTGTCTGTTTCAGTCTAGTTCCAAATCATCTTCCTCTTTGTTGGTTCAGACAAGTTCCATATCATCTTTGTCGTTGCTGGTTAAGCCATGTTCCAAGATATTTTTGTTACTGCCATTTAAGCCCAGTCCCAAGTCATTTTCCTCACCATTGAGTCAAACTAGCACCAAGTTTCCTCTCATTCTCCAAGTTGCCTTCATCACTGTTGGCTCTGCGCTTCAAGTCTCATTCGTCGAGGACATTCCCCCTGTCCCTGTCCCACTTCCCCAGCCTAAGTCCTCTCCAACTCAACCTCCAAGCCCTGAACTCCACCTCGGCTCTCCATCTCATCAGTTCCACCTTGGCTTAACACTCCCTCAGCTGCACCATGGTCTGTCATCCCTCAGGCTCCATCTTTATCAACCATTGCTCTGGCTCCACCTTGGACTTCTGAGTCTTCAGCTGCACTTTGACCATCCACCCCTCTGGCTGCGTGCCTGTGGATCCACCTTGGCCTACCAGGCCTTCTATGTCACCCTGAGTCTACGTCTCCTCGACTCTGCCTGGGTTTCCACTTTGCAGTTACTCTACTGGCTCGAACCTGGCTCCTCCGTTCTTTGGTTCCGCCATGAGCCTTTGTCCTAATGGCCATGCTTGTGGTCACTCCTTGGCTGGCTTCTCCCACCATCATCTCCTCCCTCTTTGGTGTCTCCCTCTTCTGGCTCCTCCACCTCCAACATCCTGCCGCTCCCCCCTCCTGCTTTGGGTGCTTGGGGGAGAGGGAGGTGTGAAGTGTGTTTTTGTCATTCTAGGTGTCTATTAAAACTATCTATCTTTCATTCTGTGTCATGCATCAGTCTTTGGATCTAAACTACACAGCAACCTGTGACAATAGGTCAATGATAACAAGTATACTACTCATTGAAAATACAGAGTTCTGGCATGAAACTCTAGATTGTGCAGTTTGATAGGTCTAACTCAATCTGACCTAATGACATCATTATCGCATGGCACAGCTGATTGGTTCTCTTTGCAGCTTGCTTCAGAAACCCTCCACCTTCCCCAGCTCCACCTGTATAGATCTGCTATGATGTATTCATGTATGCTGGGGGTTATTTCATGTATGTTATATTTGCAGCAGCAATATTTCTTACATGCTCACAGCAGCATGTTGTGGACGATTGGCAGTAGCAAGTCTCGGTACTTGCTCTGCCGCAGCAGCAGCAGAGTAGCAGATCTATTCCACCAAGACCATTACCATGCCAATCCCTCCGAGAGTTGTCATTACAGAACTTTATTTCAATTAAGTGTCACTTACTATAATTTTAAAAGACAGGCAGTATATTGTGTATTCTGCACAGTATTTAGTAAGTAGTATTCCATCTCGAACATAGCCAGAACCTTAACTTGCATACAACTTTATTAAATACAAAATAAATGTTTTAATTTTCTGAGATGAAAACTACAAACCACATTTTACATT